TGCGAGAGTTTATCGAAACGTGGCAAAAAAAAAAAACCCATGAGCAAATAAGCTGCATACACGGAGGAGATTACTAAAATAAGCCAAAAAAGACCCTTTTAACTCACCGTTTACAGCCTGCGGGACAAGAGAAGTGTACAAATGTGCGCAAATGTGAGTTTCTGCCCTCTTCTCCACCTTTCTACGCTGCTTTGCGCCCAGAGAACTTGCCAAACTAGTAGGACTGCAGAATCTCTTCCGTGATTTAGGTTTTTTTTTTCCTGTCCTTAAAACTTTTCCCCCTTCACAAGTCAGAGGGCGTGTACCTGGAAGAGAGAGAGAGCGGAGAATTGGGAATGTGCAAGAGCGCGACCCCAACTTTCGTGAAAAGGGAGTGAAAGTGTATCAAAACACTTATACTCGGTTTTATTGGAATTATCTTTGGCTCTCGAGCCAGCTGTTTCACGTCATGTGTGATTTGTTCAGTTTCACGCCAACTAGGCAGGCTTGTGGCTTGGAGCGGTTTCATCTGCTGGGACGAGGAGACAGGGCGGGTGGGATTACTTCATCTGCACACAGCTCAGGCGTTTCCCAAAGTATTTCACTCACTAAAAGTAAAGAAAAAGCATAGCGATACGCCAGAATCTTGCAAAATGTTGCGGGAGGATGTGTCTTAAGTGAAACAGACACACATCTGTACGTCTCTGAATAACACACAATTGGCACTATTTTACGCACCCACTTTCTTTGATGGAAATAAAAATGTAATAAATAAATAAATACTTTTTAACGCCTTTAAACTAACAGAATAGGATAAAACTTATATTAGGCTGAAAAATAATGGCCTGTCTCTTTTTCATGCTGACACTTTGGAAATGTGAGGGTGAGACGAAGGACTCTGCTGAACATACTGCAGGAAATGTGGGTGGCAAATATGGTTGAAGAGGTAAATCAGTCTTTCCAGATCCCCGAAAGAGCTTTTGAGACTTTGAAATTTTGAATTTATGCCACAGATTATCTCTTACTAAATATCCCCTGCTCTGTGCTGATAAGTTCTAAAGAAGCCTTCACATTAATGCTATCTGGTAACGCTCTGGACTTCAAACCAAAGGGAGTTGGTCATACAGACAATTCATTTGAGTGTTCCAACTTCATTTTGTCTATCACTTTGGAGTTGATGACTCATTGTATCATTCCTCCCACACTGGCACCTCAATCCGTGTAACTTGGATACAAAGGTCACATTTATTAATCAGTTAAAGATCATTGTTCTCCCAATCAGTTAGCATAACCTCCTTGTGTCTCTCTGGCAAAATTAAAACAGGCCTATAGGCTATAAAACAGCTGGGGAGCACGCCAGCACACATAACTCTGTCTAGACATTGGAATTAATACAAAGTGACCGTAACACTAAGAACTGCCAGCTGAAGAGGCACATTGCAATTAAACTGCACGAGCAAAATATAATAGAATGATTTTGCAGACTACTGAGGCCACACTGATGGACAGCAAAGGCTAAGCTATGCTTTTACATCATCCCTGCTTAATGCTTGGACAAGCAGCTTTGTACAGGTATTATAAAGCACTATGCAACAACATATTGTCTGGATGGTGTAGTTGTAATAGTGGTAATGCATATTGGATTACAGCCCCCTAAATCAGGGTTGTAATACAATGTGGGTGGCTGGACATCATATAATATAGTGAATGAATGACAGGAGGCAGTGCTGGTTTCAAGCCTTTAATTCATAGTTTTCTGTATTCAACAAACGGTTAACTGAAGAGTGGCACCAGCAGGGTGACAAAAGAATTCAAACGGTCTTGAACTCAAAAGCATAAACTGAGACGATCGGCGTTGCACAATCAGCTCACTTTCAGTCTCGATTGACAGAAAGCGACAAGCTCTACTGACTGAAGCCTCCCTGCTTGCTCGCCAGTTTTCCAATCAGCTGCCAGAACTCGGAGAAAGTCAGCTCCCCGTCGTTGTTTTCATCCAGTGAGCCCATGAGCTGGTCGATGACAGCGGGATCACTGGCATTCTGCAGAGGGTGATCACAAAGAACAGTTCAGGATCAATACAATATAATGATCTCAGATGCAGTATCATCTACTTTGAAACACTGTCCTGCCACCTAATGGTTGAATGAAGTAACAAAAACACCCGAAAAGCATTTGTAGGCACACTCACAACGTTTCTTGATCATGGGGAAAACAGCTATGAAAAGAGCTCAAACCCTGTAAGTTACTATGGCCATTGGGCTATAAAACACATTAAATTACTACATTATATATGGAGCAGAAGTGTTTTGCTTGATAGTGTACAGTTTATAATTAATTTCATTCCACTTTCACACAGATACAATCCCAAATTACAAGATTACACTCCTTACAAGAATCAGCTGACCACGGTTTGATCAATTAATAATTTTGTTATAATCAAATAAATGTATTGACAATTTTTCAATTCCACTGTAAATACAAAATCAGACATTACCTTATGATGCAGATGGTGATTTTGTATAAAATGTTATTATCAGAATCAGAATCAGAATCAGAGAAACACATTAAGTGAAGTAAAAAAAAAAAAGAATTATGTCACATGATGTACAGTCACACGTTGCATGTAGAATTAAAATGCACAGTATTAGAATTTGATAGCAAAATTATAGTAATATAATATATGTTACACACACAAGTGTTGAATTTTTACATGCAAAGTGTGTATCATGTTGTATAGAGTACACGTGATACAACATGATGAGGGAGGATTTTTCTGATTGGCTGCCAAGGGCATAATCTTAATATTTGTCCACGGTGCTCAGCATCTTTAAAAGTGTCTGGTGCCAAAAACTGATTTGCTATTTAAATACCAGTGGAGATACAGCCCTACCAGTGGAGCAACAAAGAGTGACACGGCTCCAAACGCTGGGGTGGCTGTGGTGGTTCAGGAGGTAGTGCGGGTCGTCTACCAATCGGAACGTTGGTGGTTCAATCTCTGGTTCCTCCAGCTTGTAATATGTTGACCCCAATGCGTGCAGTGTGAATGTGTGTGCGCGTGTGAATGTCATACAAGGTGCTTAAGTATAGAAAAGTGCATGTAAAATGTGCATTTGCCAAACAGATCAATGCCACAGTTACAGTTTCTATAATATCTGTGTGTAGGGTGCTCAGGGACACAAATAACAAGGAAAAGAGGAAGAACAACTTAAGAGTCGCACCTTGACATAGTTGGGCAGCTGAGAAGCCACCAGGTGTTGGAACTCATCCTTACTCAGGGTGCTGGAGGATCCGTCTTTCCCAGCATATGTCTTGAACTGGGTGACAAGGGTTGAGATAGCAGCCTCCATGATGACCTGCGAAACAAACAAGTAGAGTGAATGTATTTCTCACACAAGAGCTTCAATAAAGAGATGCAGTAGGAAAGAAAAAAAGCATCCGTCTTACTTTCTGTGTCTGCAGTGCGGTGTGTCGCAATAAGTACCGAGAACCTTGTCCCTTGACTGTGACCATCACCTCTCCAAATATATACGCTTCATCTTCACGACTGATGCAAACATCAGCGGAAAACATTAAACCGTTCCCACTTCTCCCCCAGCCAGCGGGCTGCCCTTATCTGCCTGATTCCACTTCTCTGGAGACAGATGTCAAAACAAAGCACACACACACACACACACACACACAGAACAGAAAACAGCCATTCTGCCCTACAAAGGGCAAAACTGTACTAACGATAACACAAAACCCATTTCAGTTTGCAGAGCAAGGCATTTAGTGGTAGCATCAGGCCATTCTTATCAAGTGACCGAATCATGCATGCCTAAGCAGTAATTAGTTTATACAAAACATGACTCAAATAATATGGTACAAACACACAGTGTCATGTGTGAGCCTTTCCAACTGCACTAAGCTGATTAAACTTCTGAAAAAAGATTAAAACAGCATTTAAACTTTAGATATTTTACTTCTCTTTCACTTCCTCAGGATTGTCTCAATGTTTTACAGCTGAAAATCCATCTGCGCTTTAATGACCCTTCCAGTCATCCTTTTCATTTAAATGAGATCACGTCTCCACGATGGACATGTAAAGAGGGCCCAACTCGGAAGGAAGCACAAATGTACTGAAACATTTCTATAATGACTGCTATGTAGAATTTAAAGAATGGTAAGCTTTCACTGCAGTTTCATAATCGCTGAGAGACATTCATGTTCATCAGCGTGTCAGGTCTGCGACTGTCGTATCAGCGTGAGCAAAGTGTGTTCGTGCCCGTGAACGTGTAGCTGTTGAGTATTTGGTCTGGGTGTAACTGTTTCAGTTTGCAATCACAGCTGTGATGATAGATGCCTGTCGTGCCAACACTTTCACTTCACACTCAGAATGAGTTAGATATAGTGCACACACGGCATCTAAAGACTTCCAGTAAGCTGCGTATCTGGCGTTACGTTTTTCGGTACAATTTCAAAAACGCTCACAGGTCACACTGATACTGATCACTGTGACCTGTGACAAATACTAGGGATATGGATATAGTCAGCAATAGTTGTACACTGTACAGACATAAGCACTGTGCCACCAACAGGAGCTGTTCACCCATGGAAACCCATGCAGTGAAACTGCTGCCACACAGTTTTTGTGCTGATGCTAACGCCAGAGGATGTTGTAACTTAATGCAGAGTGCCACTTTGTGGATGAGTTACTGTTGTACCTAACCACTTCCAATAAGCAAAGTTCATGTCCGTAAATATGTCCCTTATTTACGGCACATACTTCATTTGGTATATCAGATGCCCTTCCTGACACCCAAGGGATTTGCTTCTCCTCTCAGGGTTGAACTGGGGACCTTTGACTTGTTAGGTGAAGATTTGTAAACCACTAGGGCCACATGCTCCTAAACACCTCCACCTTGCAGTAATACCATTTACAGTTGCTTGTGGAATACGTACAGGAGTATCACATAAAAAGAAAAATGTGTGAATATTTTGAAAAAATAGAAATGATTAAATAAAGACATTGTTTACGTATCAAGGGTGAAAGATTTATTGAACTTAATATTGATCTTCAAAATGAGGACATAACTGTTGATCGGGGGAATAATTAGAAATTGTCCAGTGATCAATTACATGCATGTTTGAGTCAGGTCCTACATTATCGGTAAGCACAGAGCCTTACTGTTGTCCCACAAACACAAAAATAGTCCTCAAATATTCATTAAACTCTGCTTCATTAAAAGATTCATCCATTGTGATTAGCGTTCTTCTGAATCCTTTGGTCTGGACACCTTCAAAAAGACAAAACATCCTTCTCCAAAACTTAACATCAGCTCAATATTTCATGTGTAAACTCTACGACATTCATTCAAACAGCAGTAAAATTACAAGTCGTGTAAACTTGCTTTTCTTACTAATCTTTGCAGAAGCTAATAAAATCGACTAACTCTCGTCTAATCAAAAGGATTTGTAATATAATAAAAGGCACGTGAGCAGGAGCTGGCAAGCTAAATTAATGAAAATGTCACCATTTTCACATTCAAAGCATACGGCCTGGGATAAAATCTGTGGTTCTTCTCATTAAAAATAAGAAAAAGAGATGCACTGTAGTGAGACAATAAATAAACATGAAATCACTGCTGAGAGAAAACAATCACAATCTGTTCAACTTTACATCCACAAATAGAGGGAAAAGTCAAATTTCACTACAATCAAAACACAAATAAAAAACTATTTATTCCACAATTTTAAAGTAATTCTGAAATATATTTTGGACTTTGCTTTGTGCTGGTTCACCTACCTACACTAAAATAAAATTAAAAATAAAATGAAATGAAATGTTTGTTTTTTTGTGTGTTTATTTATATCACCTAAAAACAACAAAGCTATGTCTAGGTCACTGCCACGCATGCCACTTCAAATCTATGCGTGAGAAAAAAAGGAAAAAATATGTATATATGTTTGTTTTGTTGCCAATTTCATTTTGGCAAATTAACAGATTAAGTAAATGAAACTACTTCAGCTCACTAACCTCTCTAATTTTACTCAGATTGTAGGATACTGAGTAAGAGTAGCAGTGTTAGCAGTCTCCATGGATACACTAACAAACAAACAAACAAACAAAAAAAGCCTATTTAAAATAAATCTAATTGGAAACAGAAAATTAAAATAAAGACGGTTCTCATATGTTTGAGAAAAGTGCTAAAGTGGTTTAGCAATGTTCAACTTAACTATGGCTATTGCTTTTTTTTTTTCTTGAGCAGCACAAACTGGTTCCTGGTTGTTCCACACGTCTGCCGTCGGCCAAGAGGATGGAAAAGTTCTTCAAATCTAGAAATCAGGCAGTCCTCTGTGTGTGTTTGGCCAAATAAAGCGCTGCTGACAGAAAACTGGTCCGACCTGATCTGATTGTTATCACTGAAAGGATTGGGATCTCATCCTCTGGGATTGGACAGTCACACCCGAGCAGGGATCAATGCTATCTGCAAAAACATTCTAGTATTTTTTTAACCTGCTTGGAGTAGAGATTAATCAGGCTCCCATACAAGATAAAATGACATAAATAACCCCCCCCCCTTTTTTTTTTCTATCCACAACTTATATAACGATATATAAGCTGTGCTGATGGTTATTTGCAAATACCATCTTCTGTGATCTGTGTGATCAATTTAAACTGACATTATAATGAACTGTAACATGCACTACACGTGTGTAAATCACTAAACAGCAGAGGAAATTCACACAACACATTACTGAAGGACTTTGCTTTAGGAGGCATGACTGGACAGAGGTAGGTAACAACGACTAAGTCCAAGATGACAAATACAAGTCTAGCTTATAATTACAGACTCAGAGAGACATGTTTATGAGAGGCACAACCACTCTGTGCCAGAAGCTACTACTATTACAGCTCCGAAGGCAAGAAATGTCCTATAAAACCACCACTGGTTTCCTCTCTGCGTCCGTTTTTTTAAGCCGTGGCAGCAAACTTCCACAGGGCTTCTCGCTCAAACTCCTCCATCTCCTCCTCCAGGGAGTCGTCATCCTTCTTCCCGTCGCCCTCTAAAACATCCACCATGTCTTCCAAAATGTCTGCCACGTCCTCAGCAAAGTCGCTGAAACGAATCCTGTCGTGGATGAACACGCCGTCCTCAAAGTAGTCTGCGGTCAGCCTCCTGAACCTATCCTTGCTCTCTGATGATGACCTTTCAAGCTTGCTCAGGTAGCCCTCCAGAAGTTCCTCAAACTCGGACAGCTCCACTGGATAGAGCCCCTCCTTGCTGGCGCAGTCCTCCACGGAAGTGCAGCCCAGCTGGGGACGGACATTGCGTTGGAGCTTTTGCTCCTGGTCTCTCCAGAAATCGTTGTTGTGGTGCTGATGAGGATGGCGGGGCTGCTGATGGTGATGTTGGTGCTGGTGGTTTTTAGCAGACCGGCTGTGCCACGGTTTCTCCTTCCTCCTCTCCTCTCTGTCCATTCTCCTCTCACCCTTCTTGCTCTCCCACTCGTCCTGGTGTTTCCTCCAAGCCTCTTTATGAGAGTTTTGCTTTTGAGGCTTCCAGTCTTTCTCATTCTTCTCCTCTTTGTC